CACATTATATTGCCCCCATGGCTGAAAGGGCGAGCATGTTCAGTGATGGGTGAAATTGATTAGGAACAAGTAAGATGACAAGGTAAGGCAATGGGTTAAAACTAATTATCTAAGTTGTTCCTTTTGACATTATAAAATCTAACATAATACTCTTTGTAGAATGGATCAAACTATGATTTTCTCCATAAACCAGATATTTTTTACCCAAACATTACAACTCATGAAAATATATCTGAAAAAATGCTCCCAAATATAATAAATCATTTTCCAGATAACAGAACATATTTTAAAGCAATACAAACAATAATTTCTAGACAACACATCTCAAAAATTAAAATCTCCAAGTGCTTTTGAAGTTTGGAAGAGAAAACTACAGAAACAATTAATAATAAACATATGATTTTTTACAAGCCACTAACTTAAAAAAACACTGGAAATCTATTTAAACTTATTGGCTTCAAATTCTGGAAAATATCAGTTATGAACTGTTTATTATATTTTTATAGAGTTTCCTACAATCTAGTTAACTACCATTTGCAGTAATTTTTCTTATCAATAATATAAGAATGATTCCCTCGCAATCTGGAATCTTGAATATACTAAACTGTAGAAAACTTTGCTGTGTTACATCATAAATAATTTAATTAATAATCATAATTATAAAGAAGTTCAGTTTTATTTTAGTACATCCCATTTTTCACATAAAACAAATTTACATGTATTCAATAGAATTATATTTAGTTAAGAAAATGTTTCCACTTTTTTCAAACTGTAAGAATCAATGTCTAAACCACAAGTGCTTGCAAAACTATCAGTTATTAATTCTTAACATTGTTTTAGTAATAAAATATATAGCACTTTACTGAGGCTTATGTGTTTTCACTTTACGTGGAATCACATATACATACACACACATATGTATGTATGAGTGTGTGATCTTGGGATATAAATGAATCACAAAAATTATTCAACTTTTTTCAAGAACAGGGTTTCTGTTAAGCTTCACACTGACAACACTTCATTTTTACACCAATCACAGACTAAAACCATTTATTTTTCTGTAGCAAAAAGGGAATAAAAAACTTTCAATGAAAGATCTTTACACAGTGGTTGAAATGCTTTAATGAAAGTTAGAGGACAGAAAAATGGTTCTTAATTAATGAGAAAATTTTAAGAAGTTTAAAGAAATTCAGAGGCTGAGTTCTGTAAACTATAATGAAAAATAAAAGAACATATACAGCAACAGTTAAATTCTTTAACGTGTAATAAAAATATACAACGATGACTTTGACTTTAGTTTAGTCCTCTCATCTTCATCTGTAACTCAAACCGTCGATTACTTCTTACTCCCTGGAGTACTTTTTTTGATTTTTCTCTGGTTAGGACAAGAGAAACAAAACAATTATTTTCTAATTAAATTTTGTTATTCCTCCTGTAGTTAACAGTAAAACATGATGTTTGGCTTTTAATTATCAAATTTTTTTTTACTACATTAATAATGACACCAATATGGGAGGGTGGGCAGACCTTTCTATAGTTACTCTACTACAGTTGGACAAAAAAATATTAATTTGTCAAGTTCATTCAATCTACAAAATAGCATAAAAGTATCATATATCTAATTATGTTATGCATTTTTAACATTACTTTCCTATCAAAGTTGTTTTATCAGTTAGTATGAAGAAAATTTTTCAGAGCATCAATTCAACCTGTTTAGAGTTTCATGGATTGTGAAACATTAAATTACTATCTATAAAAACATCGAGAAAAAAGTTTTAAACCTTTGAAGAAATCTTTATTAACTAAATAAACAGCTTATGATTCTAGTCTGAATCAGAACATATTTGATCTTGATAATCATTTTGAATTAAAACTAACCTAAGTCTCTGTGTGTGCTTAAAACAATGGTCATCCACACTTTCACCATGTGATGCTGGAGCATTGAGCTGCGAGAGAGGCCGAACTGGACCAGTATAAGGACGGTATGACAACTTTTTAGTCAGGCTGGCTTTCAGGTTAAAAGTAGTATGCTTAGTGTTCTGGTTTGTAATGGACTTAACAGGAGTGGTTGTTCTTCCAAAATGGTAGACAGGTGCTCTCAACTCTTAAAGGGAAAAAGGAATTACTCTATATAGCAATAATATATTTTTCACTAATTTTTTAGTTACTTTAATTGAAATCAACATAGGGAATTACATTCACATTTTAAAACTTTTTTTTTTCTATAAATATTTTCAGTTATTTAAGTTTTCTTTTAGAATCCTAATTAAACCACTATAATGAAGTTTTAAATCAAAAGTACATGAAAAGCTTATGTACAAATATGAATAATTAAATGAAGTTCTAACTAAAAAGTACACAGATTACTGAGTATGGGATGTTTATACTAACACACAAAATAGCGTTTTATGGTACCATAGAAATTGAAAAGTAAATAAAATTGTACCTTTAACAACAACAAAAATAATTATTGGTCAAGAACATAATATTTCAGCATATTGCAATAGCGTATTTAAATAAACATTATACAAATAATGAAACAGTAATAATATGAAAAAACAGCTGGAATTTTCTTCTACAAAAGGATATTTCGGAGCATTATTATTTGAATCATTTTCCAAATTGTAATAATCTATTAATAATAATAATAAATATCATGCAGTTTATAAAACTCAATACTGTCTTACTTTTTTGTTTTTTAGAAGTGCTTTGTTTTTCCTTTTGTTGTGAAAAGAATGATGGGCTGCCAAAGTTTAGTTTCATATGACTTACAGATGTGATGGATGGAATAAATGGAGTTCTTTTGACAGTTTGTGGACTTTTAACTGGTGTTCCCATTGGACTTTCAGTAAATTCAAACCTTTTATACCTCAAAACTCTTTTGCTGTTTTCCTTCTCTTCACGGCATTTCTTTACTTTCTTGTTGCTCTATATCAAGTATCAAAATATCCTTCAATTTTTTAATAACAAATATAAAATAATTTTTGCAGGCAATTAAAAGGCTAGTCATTTTATTTATTTATTAATAATATTTTTGGACTAATTT